AAAATATATGAAACAACAGTTTTAGGAAACTAGATAGTAGGCAATGAAAGATAGTAATCTCTGAGAAACAGCAAACAAATGAAGAGAGCCCTACAACCGCTCCAGGCTACTGCCTAGGAGTCACATTGTGCCTCAGGGAGGGGAAACCCAGATGCCAAGGCCGGTGCACTGCCTGAGGTCAGGAGTTTAAGACCAACAAGAGCAAGAGAAAGACCTTGTCTCTAAAACAAAAAATAGCAAGGCATTGTGGCAAGCACCTATAGTCCCAGCTTCTTGGGAGGCTGAGGCAAGAGGATCACTTGAGCCCAAAGTTTGAGGTTGCTGTGAGCTATGATACCATAGCACACTACCAAGGGTGACAAAGTGAGGCTCTGTCTCAGATTAATTAATTAATTAATTAAATTGTAAAAAGAAGGGAGAAGTGACAATGTAGGGTTAGACAGGGCAGAATGTAGGACTTGGACAGAAAAGTGAGTCTTTGAAAGGTCAAACACTTCTCTGACTATAACCCAGAGAAAGGGCTGGGTGCCTGGGCAGGAAGCTTTGCCTATTTGGCAAAGTTCAAAGTGAGGGCAAGATCAAATTGGCAGTAAGCTTCCTTTGTCTTCACCCCATGATGACCAATGACCCACCCCATGGCTGATGTTATCCTCAGGTTCTGCATGTATGTGACCCTGTGACCATGACTGCCTTTGCAGATCCTGACAAGTCCTCTGAATCAACTAGGGTTCTTTTTTCCTTCCTTTTTTTTTTTGGAGACAGTCTCACTCTGCTGCCCTGGGTAGAGTGCGATGGCATCACAGCTCACAGCAACTTCAAACTCTTGGGCTTGAGCAATCCTCTTGCCTCAGTCTCCCAAGAAGCTGGGACTACAGGCGCCAGCCACAAAACCCAGCTATTTTTAGAGATGGGGGGTGGGGACTTGTTCTTACTCAGGCTAGTCTCAAACTCCTGAGCTCGGCTCGGCGCCTGTGGCTCAAGCGGCTAAGGTGCCAGCCACATACACCTAAGGTGGCGGGTTCAAATCCCCAGCCCGGGCCCGCCAAACAATAATGATGGCTGCAACCAAAAAATGGCTGGGCGTTGTGGCAGGCGCCTGTGGTCCCAGCTACTTGGGAGGCTGAGGCAGGAGACTCGCTTGAGCCCAGGAGTTGGAGGTTGCTGTGAGTGTGATGCCATGGCACTCTACCCAGGGGGATAGCTTGAGGCTCCGTCTCAAAAAAAAAAAAAAAATCTCCTGAGCTCAAGCAATCTACCCTTCTCAGCCTCCCAGAGTACTAGGATTACAGCCATGAGCCACCATACCCGGCCTCAGCTAGGATTCTGCCAAGAAATAGCATATTTAACTTGGAGCATTTAATAATAGGACCAACAATGTGTGGACTGGGTGCAGAGAGAAACTAAGATCAATGGCAAAGTACACCAAGGCCAGTAACAGCAGAAGGGATACAGGTGCCACTCACAGACATTAAGGATCCAGAGGAAGAAGCAATCACAGAACCTTGAAACAGCAAGGGCAACACAGAGGGCAGCCTCCTACAGTCACCTTTATTAGGGGGACACAGGTAAGCGGTATTATACCCTGACCCCAGTCTCCCCTCATTCCAACCCAAAGGAAGCCAGAATTGAGGTCAGCTGTTATTTATTCCATATAGGGCACAGAACAGGGTGGAGAAACTGGAGAATGATCTTAGAGGCAAACAGAAGATATCCAGCACTTGCCATTCCCTCTGTGAAGCTGATGGCTATGTTCAGTGAGAATATAGAGGTTTGGTGGGGAAGTGAGGCAGAATGCTTGAATCATGGCTCCTCAACTTCTGGCTATGTGACCTTGGCAAAGGACTTACTGACTCTTGAGTCTCAGTTTACTCATCTATAAAACAGGAACAGCACTGGGAGGCCAAGATGAAGGATCACTAGAAGCCAGGAGTTTGAGGCCAGCTTGGGCAACCTCATTGATACAAATAAATAAATAAATTAGCGGGGCAGCGCCTGTGGCTCAAAAGGGTAGGGTGCCAGCCCTATATGCCGGTGGTGGCGGGTTCAAACCCAGCCCTGGCCAAAAACTGCAA